TGCACCTGAGCTCTTGGCACCCCAGCCACTCCCTCCGTGCACAAATGTTCGTCTGTGTGGTCCGGTTAAACCTGCCTCCCATGGCTCCACTGGACCTCATGGCTGCCTCTAGTCCTGCCCAGCAGCTAAATTGTTTTAGAATATATATCCCATTGGCCTACACTGGTAGGGCGCAGAGGGTGGTGTAATAGTTGTTTGGGTTACGGTAAATTTGGAAGAACCTTAGTTTTTGTTTTTTTCTGGGTGGAAGGGGGGGCAGTGCTGGAACGTTAGGGACGTGGTATAAATTATAAATACATCACGAAATTTTATAGGCAATATCCATCATCGGTGTTCCTGGAGCCACTTTCGCGTTCTTAAGCCAATTGATCCCGTAGTGCTGCACAAAAATGGATGTGGAATGCAGTTCGTCTGATTTGCAACTTGAGAGGAGGAGATGGTATTACAAATTGGCAATTTTAATCTGTTTTAACGTTGTTTATTAGTAAATGTTACGCGATTTGTGGTGCTGTCAGTCACTTTTTTTTAAGGCGCTCTATTGGATAACTTTCGGGTTTATTTTTCTACGCTGCTTCATTTGCCTTTTGGCCGGGCGTTGCAGCGGTGGAGAGCTGCCCACAATTGCGCGCTGGTGAGTTGACATCGTGGGTGATGGTGGTGGTGGCCCAGCGATGGTGCCCCCCCCCAGCCCTTCCCACTGAGGTTGATCAAATGAACACCACCGTTGTGGATAAAAGTAAACTGGTCATGGTGGGTACTTACCACTGCCATAGAAATGTGTAAATATACACCCATCTCGCTTGGTGGTAAAGATGAGCACCCCCACTCTTAGTGTAGGAAGCTGCTGACTTTTTGTGCCTAAAGTTTGGTCCTTAAGTTTCAGAACAAACGTGTTTTTTTTTTTTTTTAATTTTGCTTTCCTCCCAATTTTTAATTTGAGCGCCGTTGTCCCGCTCGTTGCAGGGGTCGCCGTGTGCGGCGCGGAGTGCCCTCGCTCTCGCGGTCGCTGCGGTGGTCATGGCTCTTGCGGCGGCGAAGGTGTGAGCCTCCGCTTGTCAAGTTGACACGTTGCAGACTTCTCTTAAAGGACGCGTTGTTGTGTAGAGGGGCATGCTGGGCATTACGGTGAGCGCGTGTGGCTAGTATTGAGCAAAACATTTTGGGTGTCGCAATCGGTGCTCCACTTTTTGAGCGTGTGCAGAGAGATGGTCTTCTTGGATGGTGTGCGTTTATTTTTTATCTCATTTGGGTATTAGGAGCTTGAGTTTTCAATTTTTTTAAACGCTGCGAGGCTTTGCTTCGAGTCTTGCTCGAAGGCACTACTGTAGATTTGCCTAACCATAATAATTGTATGTCGTACCCTATATTCCTACTCATTCATAAAGCTTGTCTGCACCAGGTAAACGTTTTAAATAAATATAATGAACCTGATAAGATTTTTTAAAATCTACGATCAGACTCTAACAACTCCAAAAATTTCCGCAAAAAATAGACGACTTGATTCAATTTCTTATTTAAACACGTACCCGTAGGAAACCGTGATCTAAAGATTCCATCTTCTTTATTAGACTAAAATAAATGCACTTCATATGGAGGGGGAAGCTCCTTTTACAGGTTTCAAATTATTCTGATTTGAACGAAATGTGTTCAACTACTTAAATCCGAAACATCTCAAACAATAGTTCTCAATGTATTTTGCTGTTTCATGCTGTATGAAATGGGAAAACCGCAATCTAATATTTTGAACAGTTTCTGAATGACAGTTTTTATGGGGCAGTTAAAATCGATTTCAGGGGGCTTCAAATGAAAAATCTCGGATTTTCAGATTTTTCCTTTTCCTAAAAGCTACCTATTTACCAATTTTCAGCTTCCTACCTTCTTGGGAAGTTCCCTAGAACAGATGAAGGTATGGTATTTATATAAATGATGCCAGGAACAGGTTTAGGGCAACGTTTGTTCAAAATTACTATCCTGCGCCGTTTTGGACTTTTTTTAGGTCTAACTTTAGCAAGACTGCAGAAAAGGGATTGATGGTCACTTCCCCCAAAGGACTTTGTCACGTTAATATTCCTGTTCAACATTGCTTGAATTGTAGCACCTCCCTCGTAACTTGCAGGAGTCACCTGAACCCACGATATTGTCTACGAATTAAACAGATCTCGTGCCCTTTTCAATTGGACAAATGTCGCTTGGAAATCTATAAAAATGTTTCTATAATGGTCCCTTATCCATGAAAGGGCAACAAATGATATCATGGTGTTGATGGTAATCCATTTGTAGTTAACTCGGTAAACTCAAAGCCATGGTGTCGTTTTACACCTCGTCAAAATCCGCCGCCAATTCGAGCTCCCAGTGGCTTTAAAATGATCGCTCGTGCAGCTGTCCCAAGAGTAGAGTAAGAGGGCTGCGTTTGGTCAGCTTGCACAACAAGCACCATGCTAAACAGGAAGGGCCCAGCCTTCGGAAAAGTCACTTGGTCGGTCTTTGCTCTCTGGCTGTAAAAAATAAAGGCATAAGTTTTTTTTTGCTGGACCCGTCACAAATTATCTCTTGACGCGAGGGGGATGGAGGGCCTGGGGTACATAGGGGCAAAGGGGTTTCTGGATGAGGGAGAACTGAGAAACTAACATCTCTGGTCCCATTCCAGTCGCGCGTGATTAACGATAGAAAAAATAAGCAACGGCGCCAAAGACTGCGGTTTCCTTTGCTTTGGGCGGCCTGACTCTTGAGTACAAACTGTGCGATGTGCGGGGGGGGGGGGAAATGTCTCCGTCCAGAAGAGAAAGGTGGCTTAGTGAGATTTGCATGAGTTGGGTTGGCTGGGGGGGGGAGTGGTTGGGAACCTCCAAACGAAGTTGATGGGCCTCCTGCATCTGGCCGAGTTGGCAATGTCAGAGTTGACTTGGTGTTAAGTGTGAAACCATACACACATCTACAGATATAAATTACTGTGGTTTAAACAAAAAAAAATAAACTCCAACCAACATGTATATTTAACCAGGAAGGCCTTGGTTGACTTGTTTGACCAATGTGGTTTCCAGAGTTGTTACGCAATATATAAAAACAAGCGAAGAGTTTCTCCACATTGCTATTTGTCAATCGGTCCTACGGGACTTGACCAAAATGAGTTTTGCAAGTGGTGCAGTGTCCAAGACGCACGTGGGTGGAAATGGAGAACCCCCACCGGGTGTCCGAGGTGAACAACACTATCTAGGCCACACCTCTGCTTGCTATGCTCTCATCCTTCTGGCTGCTTTGTGATCCACCAACTATGCTTCAAAGTGCTTATTTAACCTTGGGCCACTGCCACCTAAAACTCTAATCTTGTGGCCCAAGTTTTTCAAAAATTAACTTGACGGTTTTGGGATCTTTCACGTGGCCCCCTGTGTACTCTGGGTTTTAATTGTACGACCGTGCATTTTGTTTGGGCACGATTATCAAGTTTGTTCCACGTGCTGGGAGCTTCAGGAACAAATTTAATTGGTCTGACACTTAGTGCCGCGTGCTTAAAAATGAGCAGAAATTCGGAACTTATTTTTTAGTTTGTTATTGAACCCAAACTGCGTTCACAGCACAAGGCAACGTGCAGTGCACACAAGTGCCAGCGTTTCCCGGTCATCGTCTCTCCTGGGCAGGCTTTCCTCCCTTGGCAGGGGGGGGGGGGGGGCCTGCTAGAGGTACAGCAGGTTCGTTTTCTAAGTTGAGAGATGTTGACCTGGGGAGGTGAGGGGGAGGGGGTGGAATTTGGTTCTTGACGAAACTCCTAGAACATTGGAGCAACCCCTTTGGGATGTGGCCAGGAACTTGCGGTGCAACCCAAAAAACATGCGGGAGTGAACTGCCCCCCCCCTCTCCCCCCGTGTGGGGGAGGGGGTGGGGGGGTGACAAAGCAGCAACGCATAAGACAATCTAAATCTGGCACGGCAGCATGGGATTGTGGGAAGTTTCGCTTGTCGCTGACCTTTTTGTTATTTGTGATACTAATTGAGCCGTTAATTAAGGCTGGGTTAATTAATTTGTATTCTGTTTTGACGTCGGGTGGTTCGATGTTGGGCACCGAGCTGTATGGCCCCGGCCATGTCGGCCTTAATTGCGATGCGTTTCCGCTTGTTCTACCTTGTCCCTCGTTCAATTGTCAATGCTCACAGCTTCTAATTGACGAAATGAATTGTAACAAGGATCCGTTTGGTTGTGGGAGCCTTGGTTTCTCGCTTGAACGTTTCTTCCTTTCGACCCAACTTTTTTGTTGTAACGTTGAAGCGGTGAGATGAGGGGGTTGGACCTGTTTCCCCACAGTGTGAAATTTAAAATGAGTTCCCTTGTTTGTCGAATTGCGCAAAGTCGCATGCGATGTACATTGCTGCTCTGCTTTAACTGTAAGTCTTCTCTACCATCCTTCTCCTGTAAGGTTTGTGTGTGTGGCGCACACCGATAATGAGCATCTGTAGCACACCTTCCATAGTACGACCACTCTCCAGTGACCATACCAACATTGGCACGTATTGTGCCAACGATCTAAGTTTACAGTCCCACGTACCCATAATATGCCTTGGCATAGCGTCTTAGTGATCAACGATTAATCGTACAGCCTCCAACCATAATCCTCTTGTGTTCAACTCCTTGACATCTGTTTTTGAGGCCTTGCATAAAACCAGACACTGTCAAGAGTCCTACGTAGATGACACTAACAAATAAAGGTTATTGGTTTCACCATGGTGAGAACTAGAGACCAGGATGGTCTCATTTGCAAGAGCATCATCCTGTGTAAGAAATTAGAATTTGCTTCACTTTAGTCAAGTACTGTTTTGCTCATGGAGTTGGAAAGCATTGACAATAATTCTGGCATCAACTTCCACGTTGCTGAACGCAAAAAACGAATCTGGACCCATTGTATTGGCTATGAAAAACCGACATGACGGCACGCTTCGGAGACATTGTCTGCTTATTTTCATTTATATTTATTTTCACACGGACGCTAATGTTGTTTCCTTCTGCCCTAGGGTGCTGAAGACTTCTTCTCGAGGCTTCTTTTCAAAATAAAGTGAGCACGACGACGATCCAGAGAAAGAGGGGAGACTCTTCGTCTGCCAACTGCTGGAAACACTCACCAGGAGTTGAGGCTCAAAGTTGGCATGGATCTGGCAGGGAGGCCCCACAACTGCTTGCGACGCCAGTACTTTCAGGTGCGGCCACTGACTCTGCCGGACGTTGGGTGTGCTTTTGTCGTCGTTTTAATCTCCCCTTTGTAATCCCACATTTGTGTGCCGTTATTGGCATCAATTCACAGTTTTTAAATTTGAGAACGTTTGCAACAAAAATGCACTTTCATTTTTTTTTCACTTTTTCTCAAGTCTTTGTATTCCAGCTTTGCTTTATTGGTGTTGTGAAAATGAATATATCCATTCTGAACTCCGGCTAGCAGTGCATCACCCTGTGTTGGGGCACATTTCCTGCAGCCGTTTCTGCAAGTTGAACGGAAACTAAGTCTTTCGGCTGGAAGAAGCCATATTAAGTGGGGGGGAACTATTTAAATTTTAGTTCGGTTATTTCATGGGTGGCTGAAACCTAGAATCTCAGCTGGCTGAATAGGTGGTGGCAACTTGATGCTCTTCCTCTTCCACCGCCTTGGCTGCCACTTCCCTGAGTAATTCTTGCTGTAAATTTAAGTGGGCGAAATTTGTTTTGAACTACGCATCACAAATCCAACATTAAAGAGTGCAAAAGATAGAAGTACATAGTTGCGTAACAAATTTATTTTCTTTATCCCCCCCCCTTCCCCGCGGTTGTTGCACCTGTTTGTGATGTCCTCGGTAGTGAGCCCAATGAATCTTAACTTGCAAGCGTCATTTTTTAAATAGATGGCGTGCAAAATTCCGCGGCTGAAAACGTCGTTATTTTTAGGTTCCATCATGGGACCTTTTTTTGCCAGTACCAAAAAAATGAGAATAGGTTTACCCCTTTTCTGGCAACAACCAAGTGTTAAGATGTTGAAACCTTTTACAAGGAATCATGTCTGCATTAACCACAATACTTGTGATCAGAATGCAAACAAAAAACACTCTGATAATATGATGCGTTGTCTTTGAAACTGATTGGTCCACATCAGAGATGGTTTTCCATTTAAGTACTTTGACAGCTTTCTGTGGACCAATCGGTTTCAAAAACAATGCACATATTTTCCGTTTTTTTGTTTGCATTCTGATCACAAGTATTGCGGTTACTGCAGACATTATTCCTTGTAAAAGGTTTCAGTTTGGTGTTTTAACATCTTAACACAGCTGTTTTGTTGCCAGAAGAAAGGGGTAAACCTATTCTCATTTTTAGGTTCCATTTTTTATTTTGAACAAAGCGAACTTAGAAATGCCAAACCCAAGATTGAGAGGCTCTTCCACGTCGGATACAGATGAAATGGTTTGGAACTTTATTACTACTACGCCTGTTTTTGTAGCCTTGGCGAGTCTCTGCTCTTTCTGCAGGAGTCCTGTACATTTTTCTTCGGAAGAGCAACGGTTGTCATGCATTTTCCATTTAAGTACTTTGAGTTTTTATTTATTTTGGACCATGTCTGCACACCATGGCCTACTTTTTAAAAAATCACGCCCACTCTAAAGCAGACGGCATCTATTTTAGATTCCTGCCTTCACATCGGGTGAATTTAAATGGATGCGGAGAAGTACGAAAAGCCGAAGATGGCCGGGCAGCGAGATAAAATGATGAAGCCGGCAACAAGACCTTGGACTTTATTTTTAAACCGCATAACCGAGATGTCTCCTTGTTTACTGTGACGGAATCGTAGAGGCAGATCGGACGCATATTTCACGTTCGCGACGAGCTGGGCACGCAGCTGGATCATGTAGCACGTGCTGGCGTGCCTAATGTATGGGATGTTTAGGGTCATGGCGCATATTTGAAACCGCCATGGTACAATGCGTCCCTTATTGGTGCAGGCGAAAGAGAAAAAAAACGACTTATCCGCTATGTCTCAGTCGCGTTTTTTTCATGCCGAGAGGGAGGTACTTATGTAATCCTTCTGGTTAATCGTTCGGGCGTTCCTCGCAGACTTTGGTCGGTGTCTGCGACTCCCCCCCCCCCCCGCTCCAACCTCGGCTAAGATTTGCGTTTTCTTGTTGCTGCGTTTCATCAATTTCTTAGTCAATGCTTGAGCCTTCCCTGGGTCGGCGTGACTTAAGTCCCTGGGTGATGTCGACACCAGCACTGGAGAAGGCGGCGCCCGAGCATTCGTTGGTGCTAATCCCCCTTGCAGGTCTCTCGACAACAATTGCATTGAGGGCCCTTATTAGGCGCTTGCTAACGGCGCCCGATGCTAGAATACTTGGGAGTCTTGCGCGTGTGCAGACTCGCGCATGCGATTTTGTTTATTTTTGTTTCTCGTATCCGCGGTAGCTGCCAAAAGGATTCGTTATTGGAAAGTGCTCCATGTGAATCGTCTGTGGCCAAGAAGTCGCGTTACGTCTCCCCAGCTGTGTGCTTCCTCACAGCCTCGATGTTGTGAAATGAGGGGGGGGGGTGAGAAGAGCAGATGGAGGGGGTGGGAGTGGCTGGGGAAGCTGGCAAAGTTTTTTTTGGAGCGTCGCACGGGTGGGGAGGGTAGGTGGAGGGGCGACTTTGTTTCGTAAATAGTGATGGAGGCTTGGCGGGGTGGGGGAGTGTGCAGCGAGGCGGGGAGGGTTCATGGGTTGGAATTTGAATGGCCCATCGTGAACGGTAGTGACTCCAGCGCATCTCCCCAAACGCCCATTTACCGGAGCGTTACGATTTTCCGCTGTCCAGAACCGCATGGCCCCCGTAGCCTCGCACCACGAGGGAGCAACATCGACCGTCACGTGGTGCCCCAACCCCCTTGGGAGGGGGGGGGGGAAATCACTTCTCGTTCTCTGTTCGTACCACAACCCCCGTTGAGTCCTCCGCCTTTGAGTTTTGATGCTGCGAGTTCTGACCTAAACGGTCAAACGCGGGTTAATTTTTAACACGTGGCCGTGTTTCAGACACGCGCTAATGTGTGTACACGCTTCCCTTGATTGGCTGACGTTGGGAAAGGGACACGGGCAGTGGAGGTGCGGCTCTCGCAGTGGTCTCTAAGTGTGGGGATAGACGCACCGCCTCTTCTGGGCAGCCTCGCCACGTCCATATGTTTTCAGACGGACGTGGTCGGGGAGTTCAGTGACAAATAACGACTTCGCCTGGTGTACAGGAGGTTGTTGATTTGATCCCGAACCTGACGCCTGCTGTGTTTTGCGTGTAAGTGTTCTCCCTGTGGTCGTGTGCCTTTTCCCCCATTTTATAATCCACATGCGTTTAGTATTTGGCTGCTATAAATTTCCACTTGGGAAGCCACTTTGAGATACCATTTAATAGGCCCCTTCTGAAAAAGAGCTAATTAGCTCCGTGGGTCTTACCTGGTGAAATAAAAATGGTTTAGTTTTTAGTTCTGTGTACGGCTTCGTCATTCCAAGAATAGCTCTCTTGGCAAATCCTCCTTTTTACTTTCCTGGAAGAGTTTTAGGTTTGCCAGTCTGATCCTTTAATTCGTGCAAGAAAAGGACTCAAACACAGAGGTGAGCTTTGCTCACGGGTGGCTTGTAGTCATGGCCGTGTTTTTTTTCTCCCCCAACGGTACAGAATTTTCCACCGTTTTTGCCAAATAGGCTTGCGTTTATTTTGTAACACAGATGGTTCCAATTTTTTTCTTTAGCCAGTTGCCTAGATTTTACAACATACAAAAGACGACGCTTAATATTGCATACATTTGTACACGGTCCTCCCCAAGGAAGTGAGATGCGCTGGTAACACTCATGCGTCTCGTGGACCCTGCGCTGCTGTTGGTATGATGCCATGACTGGTAAAAAACAAAAACTAAATTGCCCCTGAATATGAATATATATACCAAGCAGAGCTTGTCCCTGGTGTTTTGATGGGCAGCCACCGTGTGTGTAACAAGGTTGTAGGGTGTGCACTGTGAGCAGCAGAGGGTTGGTTTGGCACAATCCATTGTACTGTGTAAATGCCCCCATGTGTTCCCCGTCTTCACAAACCCGTGCTTACCGGCATGGTCAAGTTGGATCAAAACTGCCTCCATGATGTGGGAAAGGAAGCCTTCATCCAGCAATGGATTAGCAAAGATCTACTGCTGTTCAATGCAACGGTGCGATCCTAGGCACGTGACTGTTGGTGGACCAGGAGCCATTGCAAGTAAAAACCAAATCCAGGTGCACAGCCCCGGAACGCAGAGACGGTCTGTTGCAGGTTTAGTACCAGACATGTTTAAATCCCCAACGGGGGGGGTAGTGGGCAACAACGCCAACTTGAAAATCTTTTCTTAATTTGATAACTCTCATAGCGTTGCTTTCAGGGTCGCCACCCACCCCCCCTTGCGCACGATGAATGTTCTGAGATGATTCCACTCTTGACACCACAATGCCAAAAAAACTCATCTGAACATAACCGTTCTCCCAGAGACCCAAACGCATTGTTCGGCTTATGGTCCTTTAACATGGCGCGTGTGCGCCACACGCACCGCTCGTAACTACTTCGTCCGCGTGCACAGTGCCGCATTCACGTTGTGGCTGCAAGCAACCCAGGCCCTCTAGGCGCGAGGCATGGATGGCGTTCGGACGTCCTTGCGTGTGTAGGCTCTGCTATTTACCCCCCCCTCTCCCAGTGCACCGGTTTGGGCAGCTTGATGCTGCATTGGCCTTGCAAGAGGAGGAGGAGGAGGAGACGCTTCGTCGTATTGACCAACTATGAGAGACGAGCGATTTAACGTTCATCTCGGCACCCCCTTTTTTTTTACTACGGTCCCAATTTTTCCACAACTACTCTAGTGAGGGGGAAGAGGAAAAAAAAACCTGTACAACCCTCCCCCTCTACCAACACCGCTCTTCCCACCTCTAAAACTGCCCTCGATTAAATCCCCATAATTGTTTGCACTGGGGAGGTTTTTAAAAAAGATTTTTAAACCAGAACAAAACGGGAGCAGTTTCTCCCCTTCCCCCCACCCCACCTCCAAGCAAAATTTCCCCCCCCCCCCCCCTGACCACCTCACTTCACTTGGCCATACTAAACCATACAATTTTGACCAAAAACGAAAACCAATATCGCGCTCCAGCCCGGGGGCGTTTCTCTCTCGTGAAAAACCTCAAACCCGTCGCTCTGGAACGTGTGCCCATTATTTGTGCGCGCACGGTCTGGCCTTGCCCTGTGGGCAGCGCTGACCTGCTCTCAAATTCCTCGAAAGTGAGGGAGGTTGCTGGGGTTACGGGGGGGGGGGGGGTGAAGTCGAGGGGAGAGAATTCAGGGGTGTGGGGGTGGATTGGTATCCGAGCGTGGAGGGGTCTGGGGTTAGTCTGAGGGTTACGAGGATTAAAAGCCGAGGGAGTCCTGGGGATTTTGAGGGTGCGAGGTGACCGTCTGGCAAAGTTTTTGACGTCTTGTTTTCACGAGGGGGATAACCAACTTGAGTCAACATTCGTTTTTTGTGGCAGTAATTTCGCAGCGTGCCGTTGTGCAAGGTGCGTCCACGCATCTTCATCAACGGCCGCCTCGCGCGCACCGATTTTTAATTTGGACAACGTCCCAAGTCCACCCGCTTTACTGCGCGCGTTCATCAAATGCGAACTTGCCGTCCAAGTTTCCCGTGCGGCTTGGCAAGCAGAGGCGCTCGGCTGAAGCTGCTGTGCCAAGTCTCTTGCCCTGCTAACTTTTATGTTTTTGGAGTGCACCCGTTGGCCGCGTGGCCACCTAAACGTCGTTGCATTCTGGACGTTCCCACCCATGTTGTTTTTTGGGCATGGCGTGTGTCCTGTTACTTGTCACCACCTCGTGTTGATTCTGGCAATTTTGTTCATTTTGCACGATGCAACAAATAGGAATGGTCGTGTCGTCCCTGGTTAAGACCGATGGACTTGGGCAGCACTTCTTGCTAGAGGGAGCTGGCCAATAGCTGACTGACGGTGACGGCGTTTGGCGATTTTTTTTGTATTTGGACAAAGTGACTACTGGATATTTATCAAGCTGTGCCTTGGCATTAACGATCGATCATTAAGTAATTATTGTTGAAAAAGTTACAAGGGGGGGAAGCAATTTGCCACAAGTAACTTCCGTAATTGTTAGAAAATGTATATGCAAGCTGGTAATGCCGCATGATGGTGTGGGTCTTTCCTTGAATGGTCACGATTTACTTGCCCTGGCTACTATGCATTGTTGATGCCAGGATTTCTATTGACCACCTCCTTGGTCGATGTATGGAGATTTGTCCATGCGATTCTGCTTAGAATGACAAGTCTGCCTTGGAGATCCTTAAGTTGACAATTTTTTTTATTTACGTGGCTGTTGCAGGACTAGAACTGCGTCTAATGCTGGGGTGTCCCAAGTTCCACCCATTTTGTGGTAAAATGCGACCTGGTCCAGTCTGTGACGCCCTCCGCTGCTAGTGCGTTATTGCTTTCTAACTTATGTGGTCTGTGGAAGAGTAGGCCAACGGCTCTAGAGGAGTGCCTTCAGGTCCCCATGAGGGTCCTTTCACCTGCTGGGGGGTCAGCCAATACGTGCAGGACTGCACCTCTGCTTTGTGTACATTGCTGCTGTGGTCTTCTCGGTATAGCAACCCCCCCCCCCCTGCTCTCTTGCGAATGTTTGTATTCTCATTCGTAGAGATTTATGCTCTCGCACAGCTGGACGGAGGTGGGGGGGTACAGCCTAAATTCCTCTCTATTTAGTCTGTTTTCATTTTCCTCCCAGAGTAAATGATTGGTTTGACCCACGTCGTCCTTGAAAGGCTCTCCTGCGTCTCCTCGAGTTATCGCCTGGGTTCTAAACCAAGGTCGGCAAGGTACAACTTCTGGTGATGGAAGTTGAGGGAAATGCAAACTCTGCAGTAACCAAAACTTAATCAATACCACGAAAAAAAACCGCACACGACTCGCTTGCATAACTGGGGTGTAGGGGGGTGGGGGATGTCATTTTATCGGGTGCGGATGGAAAAAAAAACACCCCTGTGAAATCTGGAATGGGCCACCGTGGTGGAGAAATCGATGATGGCTCATTGGGAGAGCCACTGGTGGCAGCAGCGTGTGAACGCCAGCCGATGGCTTCGCTGCTCGTGGTTTCCGTGAGTGCTGCCCCCTTTCAAGACTGGGGGTGGGGTGGGGGAGGAACCTTGGGGATTTGTTTTCTCAGAATTATTGGAATGCATTCGACATGGGAGCAGGGGAGTGCAAAGAAGATGTTCCCGAATAGGAGATTTAATTTTGTGTTTTTCTAAAATGGCTCTCTTTTTTCAATGTTCTGTGCCTTGGGATTGTGAGCTGCTTTGGACTGCATCAGTTTTCAGTAACTGCCTTTTTTTCCCCCTTCTCTACAAAGCCTGAGCATAATTATTCTATTTTGCTCTTCACAAGAGCCTTTTTCCACAATGTGGTATTTGTTGTTCGCTGCAGCAAAGGATTACAATTTGGAGGCTTCGTCCAAAAGTGGATGGGTAATGGTTAATGAGGCTCGGACCATGGATTTCTAGTTTCCATCTTCTTCGAAATCCTTACGATGCTCTGACAGTAAGGCTTGCAAAATTGTGGCAGTGGAAATTAAGGTATACAAACAAAGTCAACCTATCGATTAATACTAAACTGTTTCTTGAAAATAGAAGGGAACAAAACTACCGTATCTGAAGGAAATGCTTAGGCCGAATTAGAAAACTTTACTATAGTTTCATCATTTAAAACTGAGGATGGTGTGTTTTCCATAGGGTCAGGGGGGAATGTCCTCCTGATGTGAGGTAGTTAAGACTTTATGGGTAGGGAGTTGTGTTGCTGAAACTGCACATGTTCATGATTATAAAAATTTCCCCCTGAAGACCTCGTATATGCAGCGTCTGTGATGTAGACAGATTTCACCAATTGCAAAGCTGGCTTGAACTCTTCCATGATTTTTGGTAAATTATGGCATTTAAAGACAGTGGTGGCTATTGTGAGGAGCCAGGGACGTTTAAGGGCGATAACGTTCCACGGTGTTGGTTACCTCGACCCTGTTTTCATCGCTATATATTGAACATAGCTGTGCCGAGATTGTACGTTTTAAGTTTTGTTGCTTTGAATTGTTTGTGTACGCGTGTGTGTAGGATAATGAGCGGCGAGCTGCGCCTCCAGTCCAGCCCCAGGGCATTCTGGAAGACAACTCCACTTTGCAGCAGGGCGACGTTCCGGCAAACACTGGTGGGACCCCGGTGATGTTACGCCCCCATGTCCCCTTGCGGCCTCCGGGCTGCACATTCCCTTTGCAGGAGCACCTCGCAGGAGCTCAAAACGCACGCACACGCCTCGTTCGGCCACATTGTGGTTGACGATGGGTCCTGCCCTGTTTTCTGACCTAGATCGTTCTTGCAATGAGACTCTTCTTATTCTCAACTGGTTAAGCAAAATTAAACTTCTCCACGAACGATATCAGCAGCAGTATATCCATCTGGTCTACCTGCATATGGAGGTTTTGAGAGAATCCAAGTCGGGTGGATGGGAATTTGTGCTTGTGTGTGCTGCTCCCCCTCTGGGTGCTGCAGTGACGGTGTTAACTTCTTCGCCTGGTTATGCAGGAGGTTGGGTTAGATCCCGACCCCTGGTATATTTGGAGTTTGCATGTTCTCCCCGTGGTGGTGGATTTTTCTCTGGGCCACCAGATTTTTTTTTCCCCTCCATTTTAGAATCTACATGTTTAGAGTATTTGGCTGCTATACATTTGCACGTGATAAGCCACTTAATTTGTGGCCCAGGTCTATTCTCACAAAGAGGTATATAGCCCAGGCCTTACCTGGTAAAACTGCACATTCCCACTTGCTCTTTGGCTACTTAATGTTTCCCCATTGGTTCTTTGCATTAATTGGGCGTTGTTACCTTGGTCAGAGCAGGTCCCAGTAGAATTTGCCCATGCTTGTTCTGCCCAACTCACCTTGGACTTGTCTGCTCTTCAGATTCGTCCAGTCGCCCTGAACGACCTCCTTAATGCCCAACATTTTGATTCTATTAATTATTATTCACGCAACTGTAGAGACACAGGCGTGTTCACCGGGGAAGTTGAGAGATTCCAATCTCAAATAATGTATCGACTGACGGCGAATGTTACACATTATGGACAAATAATTGTTTGCACTTCCACGCAGATGGCTGCCAATTCTCATTTACGTGTGCACACAATCTGTTCATTGCCTGCCAGCTGACAGCACACCTCCCTTGTGACCTGATAGATTAGAAATAATATTCTGTTGGCCTTGGACTCGCTCGCCCACCCCCGTGATGTTCGTGTGGCTTTTTGAATTGCAAAGAACCAGGGGCAGAGGTGGCCGAACAGATTGGAGCCAGCCCTGCTGGTGTCCTGGGTACAACTCCAGATGGATGCCTGTGGTTCTCATCTGCTTTCTCAATTCTAGTGAATTGGTCATACCCCAGTCACCGATGGCCGACTGGTGTTAAAAACCCATTGTATTAAATTTAGTTTTGCCCGAATGCCAACTCCTTGAAAATGTGTGCCTTAATCTAACAACGGGAGTTCATGGGGAAGTGCCCCTACTGCATAAATAAAAATGCCTCGTGCAAGTTTCACTCTTCGGTTGAGACCGTATAAGGTGAATCTTTTTCCTTGTCATTCTGATAGGGGACCCTGCTGTGATTTCCAAATGGCTTTCTTATCGTGTAACACGACACATTCCAATCGGAATACACCGAGGAGGAAAACGACCAAGAAACTAAATAAACTGCAGACCTGAAGGGCATTTTAAAAAAAAATGTAACATTCTTGTGCACGTGTGCAACCGACCTTTAGAACCGTAGTCTGCTGATTAATCTGTTCACAGGTGCTATAATTCCCACCTGCTGCTCGTTTTCGTTTTGTCTCGTTTTTTGCACGCAAACTAACAAATGTGAGCGGCTCTGCTCCCTGATGCCCCGTCGGTGACGCGCGTGTTGCGGTCGTGGTGCTACGCTCATCGTGGCCCGGCTGATCACTACGATGGACGAATAAATGTTGCATTGCGATTTTGACGTTACCATAGCGGTCGGCGCGGTGGCCGAGTGGTGGCTTGCAGGAATGTCACTTGTCCAGGAGGTGAAAGTGGATGGCCTAGGGTAGTGGTGTTGGTGTTCTGGTGAAGTCGTGCAGTGGGACGTTTCGGGAGTTGAAAACTACAATTATACTTGTGCAAGTGCCGGCGCTGCAAAACTTGTTTATGCAACGGTCCTTTTTGTCTAAACACTGCTCGTTTTGCTGTACAAACGGCTCGCGCTGTTGTAATGTTACGCTCCCTTTGCATTATAAATGCAAAGTGATGACGTGTGAGGTTTGCGAGAAACGCAGCGGTGTTCTTAAGAGCGGTCTGCTTCTGCTTCACCAACTCGCTAAGCGTACACGCCGGTTGAAACCTGGGTCCTCCAATCCGGTGTTAAAACACCACGCAGCGCAGTACTTGATGTTGTGCGGAGTTTTGTCAAGCCAATGAAAATGCATTTGAAAAGTGTGACCAATGATTGATCGACAGAACACACAATTTGACCCGATTTTAGCGTTCGTCCAAATGTTCCACTATGGGAAGCGGCAATCGGATTTGTTCAAATTTTGCAAACTTTGTACAATGGTGTGACAACTACTGCCGGTAAAAGTAGTTTAGTGGGTGGCTGATGGGAGCCATCCTCCCTGAGGGTGAAAGTAGAACTTGGGACTCGGCTGCAAGAGGCCGTTCCATTGACGGCAATGACCTAAGCATGCGAAATGTAGTTTTTTTTTCCAGGTCAAAAAATTTCCCCCTACTGGTAGTACGGATGGGGTGCCTGCAGTGACGGGTGAACAACATTTGGGGGCCCGTTTTGTCTTGAACTCGAGGTGGGTTTGGGCCAGGTATGGCCCACGTGTGTAGGGGAGGGAGGCCGTAGGATCCCCCCCCCTCCCCTGCACCGCACACATCGTGGCTTTGCCGGTGACGCCACACATTCGTCCCAGCTCCAGGAGTATTGCACCGGGGTGGGGCGGCTGTGAGCACGTGGTGCTCGGCGATGTGCCGCGTGGTGGTTGGTGCAGCGGTGCGCGTGGGCACCTGGTTCCACAACGAGCGGCCAGGTGGGTGGGTTGGTCACGTTGGGCCCCCTCGGTGGCCACCGACTATCTCTCGCCCATGTTACTTTTTTCCACTGTGCAACCGAGTTGTGCCAGGAGCCATGCTGAGCCATTTCTCCTCAAGGTGCGGAGTTTTAACTTTCCCACTGCAGAAGTGGAACTGTGCTGCTGACAACCATGAGTTTAATAATTTTTATATGCTTATCCTTGCTTGGTTACGAGCTGCTCGGATATCTTTTTAAGGCAAGCGTTTCAATGTTTTTGTTCTGAAATGGTAAACAGCCTGTGGGGAAAAACTACCTGAGCCATGAGGGGCACCCTCTGACGTGGCTCGGATATGCCAGTGGAAAAAGGGGCTTCTGTGTGCTTCCTCGTGGTGGCACGCCGGCGACCGTATTAAATGCACCCGGGAGTCTTCTGATTTGTAGGCACTGCGTTGGCACAAGCACCTCGCCTCCTTTTGGTTTGTCCATCGCCTCTTGTCAGCTGTTGCCTGTTGGTAGTTTGGCTTGTTGAAATCCCATGCTGGCTCCGAACAGGAGCAGTCGGAGCCATTTGACCTTGGCCAGCATTCCAGAGGCGACAGTTTGAGCACAAAGTGGGGGTTTGTGGTTTTGTGGTCGTTTCCCACGTTTGTTTGTTGGTGACACCCGGTGTGAACCCCCTTCCCCCCACCTTGCGGTTTTTGGGAACAGTTGTGGTGCCGTGTTACGTCCTCGCTAATTTACGTGGTGGTGATTGTTTTTTTCACAGCAAATCCTCGGCGAACCGATGTCGAATTTGAGCCGGTGAACCCAGGACCGAAAGGCAAGCGCACCTTTGCCACCTGGCTGTCCATTACATTAATGGTGATGCCCTCTACCTCGGAAAGTCTCCAATGAGACAAATGGCTGTCTGGGTGGGATCATGCGTTGGAATATTTTGGTCAATTCCTTTTTAATGTAGGCAGAAGCTTTGAAGAGTTGGAGAACTCCCAATTCATAATTTGTGACTAAAGCTCAAAGCTTCAGACATGGATTTAAGAATCTTCTTTATGCTTTATCATCTTTCAAATGATCTGCTATCCAGGAACAGACCGGGCTCAAACTTGTTTTAACTTCCAGGAGAAACCCTGTGGTGCAACATTCAATCGTCACATGATTGCTAGTCTGCTAATTGGTCTAACATACAAAAGTAATGTGCAGTCCTGCAAGGCTCAAAAACAATGAAAATGTATAAAAAGTAAATATACGGGAGGGGGGGGGTGTTTGGTTTTGCTGCGTTATAGTGCGCTGGTGAAGGTTGTGCTGTGACTTACACACGGAACTAATTTGCATTGGAATGAAATTTGCTAATTGGATTTTTAAATCCGGACCTATTCACGTGCAAATTTGCCGGAGCCTCAAACGTGTGCATAGTTTCCTCCCTGAGCACCGCCACTTTTGCGCATTTTCCCCGTTTTTATTGCATGTGACGACGTAAAAAAAAAAATAGAAAATTCCAACGGTGGCTGCTCCGGCACATCTCCCATCCCAGGCACTCGCACAAACGAGGTGGCTGCGCTGCCATTTTGGCAGTGGCATTCGCATCCCGAGTCCTAAGCGTTGAACTCGCCGCTGCGTGGGGCTTTTTAGGCAGCTCCCAAACCAAGCGCAAACCGCTGGCGCCCGTGGGCTTATTCGCGTACTGCAAGGATCGGGGCCCGAGTGCTCCCGAGAGTCGCGTGTGGGGATTAGAGCTGATTGTGCGCCACTATCCCTAATTAGTTGTGGGTTCAGCCTAGAGTTGCTGAATGAGCATGTGGCTTTAAGCGAATAGGTTAAAGGTTAAGCCCCGTGTGGGGGAGGGTGTGGGTGGGGGGGAGACATGAATAGGGTCGGTGGTTTTGAGTGACCGCCCATGGGTCATCGTGCTCGGGTGAGCGTTTTTTTTTTTTTGCGGGAGGGCCGGAGGTGTAACGGTGATGTGTGGGCATGAGTCTCCGCTTGGGGTCCAGCACACTGACGATCTGCCCCCCTGTCCCACCGCCCGCGAGGTTTATTGGAGGTTGTCCTAGTGGTATATCTAGAGAGTCGGGGCAGTGAAGCCACACTGGGTCCGGAATGGCCCAGGCACTGGGCCATGAAGACGAGTGCAAGTCTCATTCCTTGCACTCACAGCACAATGCCAACTATGCTTCGCCACTGACCGGCCCATGGCTCGTGAATCAACAACAGGTGCCCTTGAGTGCTCTGCCCCAACTGTTGGGTGTCTTAAAGAATACAATTTTAGACTACTTTACAGCCAGTAATCAATCCGTTACTCGATGAAGACTTCTCATGTTGACCTCGGCAGTTTATATGACCGCAATTTGTGCTGGTCAGTGCGGGTTGAATTTGAGACATTTCCATAAGTCGTTGGCATAACTTTCCACCGAGATGGCTGGGACTCTAACCCAGGTTGGTTGGTTCATAGCGAGTGTTAATTAACTACTGCCACCGCCCCTCCTTTGAATGGCCGCAGCAGTTTGTACGGTTTTTTTGCAGTCTTGCGGTACCTGATGAGTAACACAACCTGTGGGTTGGTAATCGTCAGGCCCGGAGCAGATGGTGGTGCTGTGTTTCCCCTGGCTATGGACACGGGTGACCGTGTCTTATGGGTTGTGCCTCGCGCCACTTTTAGTTTTCCAGTTCCACTAAATACCCCGATTTGACGTTTCCCCCTTTTTTTACATCGTCACTTAATGCCACGGCCTGATTTGTCGCCTCCACCCATGTCGCTGACGACATCGTCCGTCCTTTCTCGAATCCGCCTCCCCTGTAGATCGTTTTGATGTCTACGTCGTTTTGATATTCGACTTCCATTTTTTTTCAGAACGCACCCTCGACGTAAACCGGGTTATTGCTGTCAAAGTGGCAGCCCTGGGCCCCCCTCCCTCCCCTTTGCTTGTTGGCCAATTCGTGGCGAGGTTGACTTTACCCACCCGCGAGTGACCCCTGGTGGCAACAAACTGTGCTGGTCTCGATTTAAAGCTTTCGTGGCGGCAAGGATTCATCTTTTGGTTATTTCGGTAAAGTCACGTAGAATGAGAATAAAATAATAAAATAAAAACACAAAAAAATCTCACGTTTCGGCCACAACACAAGTGGCCTTCAGGTAAAGGGACGAGACTGTCTCGAGGACATCGCTGGTGCAATGCGGCATTCCGCATTGCACCAATGTGCAGTGTTGTCCACGATCAAAGCCGCTTCACGCCCTACGCTTTGCGTTACAGGCACGATGTTGCAACGATTCAAACGTAGTCGGCTGTTTTATCCACTGCTGGATGAAGGTTATTCCCTCAATTGCGATCAATCTTGCATAACACGCTGAAATTGATCTTCTAAAATAAATTGGAATTTATCCACTTCTGCTGGTACTGCAGGATAGTTGTTAGTCATTGCTTTTTATTCGGTGTTTTGACTCCTTTCCTTACCCTTTCAGTTGCTAATAAGTACATGCTGATGATGAGAGGTCCTAGATAATTGTGCAGGCCTCTACCAATTGTTTCTCCTTTTTAGATTGTGCCGACATCTAGTTGCTTATGCAGTTTCAATATTGATGCAGGCAGTTTCAATAATTGACATATCCCTGTCAATCCACTGCTCCCCATGCTGTTGGTCATGAGGCTCGATTGGCCAACACAGGATATTGAGTTTTAAAACTGAGTTTCAACACGGCATAGAGAAATGAAGCCTTTCCTTGAATAATTATAATCGGTCCCATTTATTTAATTGCATGTTTCAGTTTTGTCATATTCGAAGGCATCCCTTTGTGTGTGTGTGTGTATAGCTGACATAGAACATTGTGAAAGTTGCATTGACGTCGGCCTGCTTCCTTGCCAGCCAAAATTACCAACAGCTCGGTCTTCCAGGTGAAGCCGCTTTTTTTTTTACTTTGCAAAGGCAGCCTGAAGCTGCTCTGGCAGTGACGGATTTTTTTGAAGGTGGATGTTTGCCGAAAGTCATCCTTTTTTTTTTCAATGCAAGGAGCATTTTTCGTTATTTTGGTCCGATTCCTTTGTCCTGCGGGGTTGCGTGTTCAACTCGTGTGTGGATCTGACTCGGAGCTCGACGAATGTCGGGCCCGGGCACAAGTTGCGTTCCGACTCTGACCACGAGGGATTGGTACCCCCTATTGCCAGGTTTGTGCTAGGGTCTGGAGCACAGAGCTACCTCTGCTGGCATCCTAGATTCAAATTCGCATTCATCCGCCTGTGAATTTAATTTTTTTTTACCGTTTGAGGTGTAGCACGTTACTCAGCCTGGTCACCGACTAACTACACGCAAAAACACCATAGTTTAAATGTTAAGCAATTTATTTAATTCCATGTCTGGAAATTGAAAAATGGTGTGACTTGAATGGAAAGTGCCCCATGGTGGTAAAAGGTAACTTGAAGGGATCTCAATGGTATTTACTGGATATCTGTGAAAAATAGCTTGAGCTTATCAGATTCCACTCGGATAAATAAATATTCATTTATTTTTTTACATTCCATGGGAAATTATTGCTAATACCACCTGCTATTCTTGAATTAAGTTTGCTATTGGATTGTTTTTGTAATTTTGGTGCTCTGAGCTGTTGTCCTCCTTGGGCTTTAAGCAAAGGGAAGTTTTTCTGGTAAGATGACATTGGCAACAATATATTCTGAAGTTGGATGGACATTCTACCATGTTATTTTTCAAGATAATCTGGTAGATTTGATGCGTACCATAAGCATCTTGTGCCGACTACGTTACAATGCGACTTTGCCCTGCACATCTGTGCACCACATTTTTATTAACGACTGGATCTGGGAAATGTTGCGCAGTTATCCTCATGAAAGGGTCAAGTGGCTTCTTATTGCGCTGTATGCAGTCCTGTCGCGCTTCAGCCGTGATTATTCTTGAACTAAAATTTTATAAACTTTGGCGCTTTTGTGCTGATCTTTTATGACCGGGCTCGGATTTAATGCTGAACTTAAATTCTTACCAGCAAAAAAAAAGTCCGTGGCATTCACAAAATAACGAAATAAAAAATATTTCAAAACGCTTAACTTCTATGCTGCTGAAATCCTGGATTCAAATCTAGACCGGCTGCTGTGCTTGAACTGGATTCTTTACCAGAGTGCTGTTCTTCAACCTGGTCATCGATGACAACCCAAAAACAAGACTAAAATTTACTTCTGCATTGAATGTCATTAAATTTCACCTGCGTATTGTACGATATTGTTATAACCGTCACTTCTGCAGTTAACATGTTGGAGATCTCAGGTTGCTCTATCCGCTTCTGTTGACCGTTCGCCTGCGGAAAGGGGGTCATGCTGCTCTGAGGGAGTTCAGTTATTCCTCTTGTGACATAATACCGATCGCACAATGGATGCGGTTTATGGAAAAACATACATAAAGATTATCTGCTGCTTGGCTAACAACAAAGTGTGGGCCCCAAGGAGACCTGGGCTTGAATTGCCCTGTAGGGAATGGGAGGGGGGGGCGAGTGTTTTTAGGCAATAAACCTACAGAGCCGGCTGTGGATTTAATTTTTTTCGTTTGCTTTTTGGCCGTCTGTGTGCGCACACTCGCACAAGTTTTGCCGTGCTCGAGTTTCCTGCTCCCCCCCCCCCCCCCCCTGCTTGTTTGGCTAGGTTGCCGGGGAACGATGGCGTGCTCTCCTAATCGAGGTTTGTGCTCCCCGCCCGAGTAGCGATTACGATGGCTATGGGCGGCGGCAGCAGAGACTCGTCGTACATTTCCACAGCATCTGTCGTGTGCCCGTGGCCTGATGCTAGAGAGCGCACTTCTCGCCCTTCCATCTAAACCCATTTATGAGAAAATTAAAGGGTCAAATGTCGCGCTTGTTTTGAGATTCAACTGCAGGTTTTTGCCATTGTGCTCAATACAAAATGACCGTTCCTAAAGTAGCTTCCAGCAGCATGTGGCTCGACATCGTAACACCATTCCAGGCGACATGTGGCGCAACCTGAACACCCATCGGAAAGCCATGGTCTCAAGATGACATTATTATAGTTCTGGTCAATGTTGTTCAAGGTTTACATTATGGCATTTACAAAAAAAAAGTTTGCTCTCACGGCTTTTGGTGTCGGAGGGGAAATTCAGTAAGTTACGGGGACGCCGGGATCGCTGGGAATGTGCGATGTTTGTTTTTGGTGGCGGTGGTGGCTTCCCGCTCGTGGCGTGGTCTCTTTCCGCTGCTATTGTCCCCCACTCGCTGGGGATGGAGATTGGGGGGAGGGGGGGGGGTGGCACGGCCTCGGTGTGGACTTAAAGTTCACGGTGTTCCCGCGACGCCACTCTTTTAAAGGCAGTGGTTTGTGTTTATTTATTAATCGCTTCCTTTGACAATTGCTGCCTAGTGATTTAATCAAATTTGCTGGTTATCAACCGTCTGGTCCACAAGATTACCACATTGTGTGCAAACTCGCTTGGATCAGATGGCTGGGAAAAGGTGCCTGTGGATTTCAGTGTTTTAAACGTTATGGCATTTATTGCTCAGGATATTTTTTGCCAAATCTCTACCATTCTGGGTGTTTAAAAAAAAAAGCGGCATATTCTAAAAAAAACATTATGCGTGTGTGTGGTGACTGGCAACCGGTTATCTCTCCCATTTTAGGTAAATCGTTTAGTAAGTCATTGGGAGTTGACTTTCTATGTCGTGCTCTGTGCAGTCGCTGGAACCAACGCCATTGTCGTGGCAGTTAGAAGACTTTGTTCACAGCTCCGCTTGTTGGGACTGCTCTCCTGATTTGGCTCTCTTTAGTGTGGAGGGGAGTGTGGGCATGGGGGAGTTAAAATAAAAATTGGAAAATCCAAGCGTCCAGTTTCCTGCTCTTGTTGCGCAACAACCTCTGGCATCCGCTTGGGCCACGCTCTCGAGGAAGCTGATGTTGCCGCTTTTTATTTCGGGGCTGCTTTTCCGCTACCGCTCGCGCGAGACGACGGAGTGCCGTCGTGCGCTGCGGGGGGAGCCTCCGCACACTTCGAGGTCCGAGCGGTGGCGGCGGTGCCGCGCTCGACCCTCTTGGGAAGTGAGGCGCCTCTCGCTGCGGACGATGGCAGGTACGGCGGAGCGTTCGCGTGGTGGCGCCGCTGGCCCCTTGCGCTACCGGCCCCGGTGGCCCCGGGTATTCGATCCTTTGACTGCGGATTTTTTTTTTGAATCGGGTGACATCTCTGAACCCTTCCCAAGGTCGACTCGTCCATAGATTGAGAGGTACCTGGTGCAATGTGTAGAACGTCGGTGCTGGGAGGAGGCAATTGGCCAGGCATGGCACTGGCCACACAACACCATCTCGCGTGTCGCACCAGCCCTTTCTAATGTAGCTGCTTGCAGCACTCCGTCCCCATTTTAGCACCTGCGAGCCAAACGCGGTAGATGGATGATCTGTATGTGTGCCCTGCAGAGACTCTTCAAAACCCGGTTCCCCCTCCTTAACCAAATTGCCGCCGGGGTGTCGGCGTCCGTAACGTCCCCGTCGTGAGTTCCGCCGTGCGCGTGTCTCTTTCGATTGCAGAAGACGACGTGGACTTGGAGGCGCTGGTGAACGAGATGAGCGTCTCGTCCCCGGCGGCGACGTCGGCGGCCGACGGTCCGACGTCGCAGCAGCAGCACCGGGGCGAGGCGCGGACGGCCGCCACGCAGGCGAAGCGCGGCCCCCCGGCGGGGTCGGCGCCCGGCTCCGGCGCCTCGTCGCCCGTCCACGTGTCTCCCCGGCAGGGCCTCCGCCGCTCCCTACCCATGCACATCAAAGCATTCAGGTGTGCACTCGTGCACGTGTGTGTGTGCACGTATTTGGGGTCGCCTGTAACGCATGGGTCTGTTCTGTGACCATTTGCCAGGTGAGTCTTCCAGACGTCGCCTTGGAGAGCCTGGTGCAATCTGTCTGTCGCTTGGTGGCGAGTCGGCTGTTGTGCGTGTGGTCTGAGCATGGGTACATCTAAGGTGGAGTGTAGGCACGTGTGTGTGTGTTGGGACCGTGACCCAGTCAATGGTGGCTTGCCTTCTGCTTGAACAGTCGGCCAACTTGATTCGATTCCCATTCACTGCTTACATCAATGGTGTTTGTGTGTGTGTGTATGTGTGTGTGTATATATATAGGCCTTTTTTCCAAAAATCAACAGTGGTGAGCAGCGTCTGTGCTAGCCCCCCCATGGCTTGATGTGAACTTGAGTACCTGGTGCTGTGTGAACGCGAACACTGGGCAGATGTAGGCGGTTGGGTGGGATTCTGATCACACGCTCGGCCTTCTCGTGTCTCACGTAAGCCTTGACAGAAGTGCTTGTGAAGTCCGGGGGGGGGGGGGGGGCGGAGCAGGTTGGTATGATGGTTAATGCGCTGAGCTACTGTCCTGGCAACCGGAGTTCATTTTCCAGCCGTGGCTCTATCGTCCGTGCTACCTACTCCCCACGCTGTCATGGCAGCCACTTGTTGATTTTGCCTTGAAGCAACATCAGCATGGGTTGTTGGCCAGGCGTGGCTGCGAGTAGTCGGTACCACCACGCCCTCGTGTGACCGTGCCCGCTTTGATGTTTGCACGCTCGGGGAGCTTGCCCCGACTGTCGCTAAAACCTAAATGTTAGCGTTGCACACGCAGATGTGCGTGCGCAAAGCGGGTTAACTGTTCTTAGATGGGCAACATTTCACAATTAAAATGGCAATTAATAAAGCATAGCAGTGCTTCTATTAATTGAAGTTCTACTTTTGTAAAAATGTTATGGAATTTATTTTACGTTGCCCATGGTGGAATTTTGAGCCCAGGCCGAAATGGTCTCAAAATTTGTTCTTCCCAAACCTGGCCCCTTACCTTCATAAGAACTCTGCACTTGCTGCAACAAGTCTCCAATTAAATGCTAACTGCACTTGTGTGGTGCTGCTGCGCGTCTTGGTGACTCTGCAAACCGTAAAGCTTTTTAGAGGGCCACGTTATCCTTGTGCCTCCCTGTAAAAGGTTCCACGCTTTGCATCTTGGTGCGCGGCCCTGGTGCCTCAACTATTGAGTGGCGTCCCTGCCAACGCTCGTCAAGCAATACGCGTTTTCTGTGTGGGTGGCACGCTCGTGTTTCCCAGAACTCTACTAACAGATCTTGGGCGGTTTTATCAATAGGCATATATCCTACCAATGGAACCATTTTAATGCCACCCAGTGCCCAACTACACAGGAGAGATGCCTGTGCTGCATTGGTGCCGAGTGCCTTATGGTGGAGTCGTAAATGTTTACGGACGTTTATCTCTTGAAATAAATAGATACATGCTGGTTAAGCTGTTACATCAAAAGAACCTTGCTTTTGTTGGGCAATTTGACCTCGCCACACAGGTGTGTGAGCGCGTGCTGTACCGGCCTTCATTAGGTGCTCGCTAACGGCACCTGCCCCAAAAGTCTGTTCACGCTATATGGGAGATCTTTGTGGAAACGGGACATGTGTGAACTCGGACCCATGCCTTCGCGATTTTATCATGCCGGTACGCAGCGTCGTTTATAAAATAACCATCTCAACTTTTTTTTTATAAACGATTTCCTTGCACTGTACTAGCACGTGCACATGGTGGGGAGGGGTTTCTATTATGTTGTACACCCCTGTGTACATCGCTACGTGTGTGTGTGTCCCCTGAAGTCCATCTCGCTTATTTGCTTGTACCTCCCAATGGGTTATTGCCTTGTGGTGTTCCCCTGTGGTTTGCTTTTTGTGTACTAATAGCACCATGCATCTCCCTGGCAAACGATCTGCGTAACGGGCTAAACAGGGCTTTCCATGTAACAAATAAAACACCGATTGGCTTGCGCGAGTGCGTGTAGTTTCATAACGGCGAGTGTCGCCACAATCGCACGTAACAGTGTATTCCACTCGGCAAATCTGATTGTGATGATGGGACATTTCTGGCTTGCAAGAGGGTCCGCCGGCGTGCGTTTGCTTGTATGCTCACGTGCAAATCCATAACTACAAGTGCTTGTTACCTTTGGCAACGTCATGGCCCAATAATAAATAAAATGCCTGCAAATGACATTGGAATTTACATTTGTTATCATTGCCCCCTGCTATAAAAATGTAGCAGGCCCTCCTGAAAAATTTACAAAGTAAAGCCCATTGAGCTTATGTATCTTTTTTCAGAAGCAACCTGGTCACAAAAATGATAGCTGAACGAAGTGGCTTATTTGGAAATGTATAGCAGCCAAATACTCTAAACGTGTGATGTTGATTCTAAAATGTGGAGGGGTGGAAAAACTGGAGCACCTGGAAAGAAATCCCCCGGGGAGAACTTGTACTCAAAATACAGGCCAAGTCCCCTAAGACACTGTGAGGGGGTTCCTGGTTTAGCAAACTTGGTAATAACATCAAGGGCAGGTCACCAAGATTGGTGTTCATCGTCATGGTGTTGTGGGTTCTTGAGCCAATTCATAAATGGCTGTCAGTCCCTGGTGCTTGTGCAGATTCCCTGAATGGTGCTCGTTTCCCTGTGCCCCCCCATTCTCCTCCCCAGGCTCCTGCAGCAGGAGGACCGGCAGAGCTCCTCGCTGCCGGCAATCCCCAACCCCTTCCCCGAGCTCGGCAGTCCGGGGGGTTCCCCACTCCGTGACGGAGCCTTTCTGCCGGAGGAGCAGAGCAACAAGAACGTGAGTTGTGACCCCGCAAACGCACGCTTCGCTTGAACGGTGCACCGCTGCGGGTTTTGCCGCACTGCATGCTGGTGTTATGCCACGCAGTCGGGCATTGCAGTGGCCTCCACAGATCCATCAAGCAAGGGGTAGAACTAAAAGTAATCCATAAACTCTGACTAGGATATCTCGCTTGTCGGTACCACCCAGAGGTGGGGCAACATTTGTGGTTACAATTTATTTTTTGCCAATTATGGTCATTTTGATGTGGCCGTTTATCAAATGAATCCATTGCGGTCACCGTTTTTAATACGCTGCTGCTACTATTAGACCCAGATGTCCGCAGTCTATGCAGATTATGGACGTAGCATTTTTGCGGAGCGGCAGCTGTCCTTGGAAGACATTGGCGATGTGGTGCTATTGGTGACGTTGGCCATGATGACATCTTGATCTGGAATGGCATCATCTAAGTAGTGTGGTGCACTCGCCCTGGTTTTAAGGAAAATGTTAGTGTGTGTGTGATTATATGTAATCCAGTAGAGAAATGTTGTAAACCTAAAATACAAAAACAATTCTGCACTGGTCAACAATGTAGTTAAACCATTTTACCCAGGCTCATGTTTCTTGGCTTCTAAAACCTGATGGCCGGGCATGTTCCAGGAGACTTGATCAGACTGCATCAGTTTTTTTTTATATCGTTAAAATAAAATTTTACTAGGACATGAGCGCGTCATCAGTGTGGCATTTTCAATGCCCCTTTTTCGTAGTGGATGTTGGCAGCCCTCATGCTGCCAACGTCCCTGCCTCACGGTTTTGTGCTGCACCACTTAGCTCCGGTACACGAGCCGTTTTCATTGCTCGGTCTCCACGGTGGACATTCTCAGGTTATTTACATGATAATCGAACCCAAATTGGCAATGATGAGCTATTGATTGTAAGTTTTTGATGTAATACAATTAAACAAAGCACAAGCTTCTGTCGGTTGGTGGTCGAGGCCATGGCTCCATCTTGTGGATATTTTTAAAATAACCCTGCAGTCTGAGATGTTCATTCTGGATGGCCAACTCTGTTTTGCCAGCATTCTTCTAGATGTGGGTGGGAATCCAAAATTATTGACAGCCGTTTCGCCGAGTTGACGGTTCATACGCAGTCTTGTAAAGTGTTGGGCCACCAAGAAGGCGACTAATGGCATGCAACCCAAAACCTATTGGGCCGCATCGTAAGCTACCGCAGTCTGTCCACCAACGGAGAAGAACGCAACTACACGGACTCTCTTATTTAGCTCCTGGACCCATCGCTGCTGCCGCGACCGTGCGCAGTCATAGAATGGCGTTGAGCGTAACGAGTCTGGGAACCCCCCCCCCCCCCCCCCCCCCCCCGTTTGGCACGTTGGCCGTTATCGTGCAATAAATAATGTCGATGCCCATTGCCGATTACAATCCGTCAACATCAAGCCAAACGGCCTAGGTCTAACAAGAGACGTGGAAAGGAGAGAGATTAAATAAAACCCGAGGTGCTTTTTGAAACGGTGCCAAGTCAAATGTGCGGTACAGAATGTTAACCCTTTAATCGGCGCGCGGTACCGTTACTGTTTTCATAGCCATGTTTAAAGATTCTTAATAAGATGTCCTTTTTCTTTGGTTCTTTCGGTAAAGTCGCGTAGAATGAGAATAAAATAATAAATTTATCAAATAAAATAACACAATAATATTCTCATGACGTTTCGGCCACAACACAAGCGGCCTTCATCAGGTGAAGGGACGAGACTGTCTGGAGGACAGCGCTGGAGTCATTGTGTAATTTTATTGTGTTATTTTATTATTTTATTCTCTTCTACGTGACTTTACCGAAAGAACCAAAGAAGATGAATCCTTACAGTCACGAAAGCTTTAAATCGAAAGATGTCCTTTGTACGCGCGCTGCCATTTAGTCAATCCACTGCTGGACGACAGCCCTTCCCGCACCGTGTCGTTCATGAGGACTGGCCCTTCTTTGCCACCCTGGTCTGTGCGTGTTGGCAGAGGTGGGCAGGGGAAGCGTATAAGTACCGTACAACAATGCTTTTTGCCGTGCTACCCTCTGCTGCCCACCTTGTAGTGCTGCAGCCCAATAGGACCTGTTGTGCATCGCCATCACCTGGCAAAGCACCAAGCCAAGCTCAACTTAGCTTGGTCTGTGAATTCTGACTTGTATTCGCGTGCATTCTAAGTGATTTTGGGCAAAGGAGGAAGATGTCTCCAATGTTCCTTTTCCACCCCCCCCCCCCCCCCCCCCCCACTGCGCTATTTGCTTATTTTTAGGTGGGCTAAGTGATGTGGCTCTCACATTAATTATTTGCAGGCAATTCCAAAATTGCCCCCTTTTGTAGCCAGTTATCATTTCTGGGAAATTGTGCACAAGCACCACCGATGGGAAAATTTTGTACGAGTGTTAACCCAAAAATGTCACTTTGCATTCGCTGAAAGGTTGGTCACTTTGCATTCTTTGTGGCTATCGAAATTGCGCTTTTGCAAAAAAGTTTACATTTTTTGTACTAATTTTTGCGAGCGCATTTTTCCTGCAATCGCTGGCATTTCCGATAAAACTCTAAGTTTCTAGGCCTGCTGACGCATTTTGCGAGGCAGGATATTGTACCAAATGAGGCCCCCTTTGGACTGCGTGCCCTTATTAAAGTGCACCACATCTGCTAAAGTTTTTACAGTTTATACAAAAAAACCCGCTATGGAGGAAATAGAATCTGTGCCGTGACGTTTGCACGTGACTCATGCTCTTCCCGGTACAAGCTCTTCCAGCAAGGCTCTAAATTTTGTCTTCCGCTTATAACCTTTCATGTGGCGCTTCCATTTCAACCACTGCCAAGGTTTGAGAGGCGGTGGGAGCTGGGAGGTGTGTGGGGGGGGGTACTGCGTGACGTAGAATCGCGCCGTGGCCGCGCGGATTCCTGGCAGCACGGGGACACTGACTGGAAGCAGCCGTTGCCATCTGGGAACACGTTTGTAAAGCGATACATTGAAAACACTTCTGCTGTGAACGCATGCGGGGAAATGCACGCTGCGGTGCGCTGATAGGTACCGTGTGTGGGTGCAATTGAGTTGTGCAACTTTTTGCCGCACATGCTTGCACTCTGAATGGAATGCTTAAAATGTTTTGGTTGTATTCCTTTTAATAGAACAGGACCAAAAGGCGGCAACGTTAGAGGGTTATTTTTATTAATTTTTTTTTGTTGCTCCCAGGTGAGAAACAATTCCTGAGGAATTTTTTTGTGAGGTCTGCCCCATCGCGCTGTTGCCAACCTACCAAACCGAATAATTAATTCGCCACATTTTATATGCGCTGAACCACAACGGTTTCAACAAAAACTAATGCAGTAAATTATTTTGAAACTGAGGCTGCATTGTAGGCAGTGCAAGGAAAATCCTTCCCACGTCTATGCTCCCAGTCTTCACTACCCTGCACGGACCTGCATGAAGTTTTATCGAAACTACCTCTGTCCGCCAGCATGGGATCGGGGGTGGGAGGCATAGTGGTAAATTTGTAAGTTGTAAACAATTATTTGGTTTTAAAAGAACTTGCTATTTTCTCGAACGGGAGGAAGTTTTGGCGTTGTCATTTTCTAGGTGCCAATTGCTGTCTCACTCAACCCGCTGCAGATTCGCAACAAATCGCATGAAGAGCGTGGAAACCTTCCATGTGAAAACTCGACTCGCCCATGAGACGCCTGCTCGCTGCTTGATTTGTAACACTTGTAAATATTATCACTGGGAAGCACGATGAGATTGAGCAGTGGTAAATGCGCAACTGTGCCTATCCAGTGTTTTTTATTTTGACGGGGTTTTCACAGCAGAAACCTGGCTGTTTGTAAATGACAGTGGGCCAATAACAGAATGGTTGCTTTTTGGGGGGGGGGGGGCGGCAAAGGTGGTTTGATTTTGCGCGCCCATAACGTAGTCCATCGTGTGATGCCTCTCATTCCATCTGGAGTGGGTTTTTGTACGCCGGACTAATCTACCCATGTGCGCATCCGCACACTCGCTGCTTATGCAGATGTGTGATTTGGATAAGGCCGTGTTGGACGAAACCCACTTTGGATGGGTGCCCTCTGTTCCAGAGGACATTCTCCAGGCCGTGGTTCATTTCAGAGTGCAGGGAGCGTGACGTGCGTGCACCATGCTGTATGCCAACACTCTGAACGTTCGAGAAATACCTTCATAGTTGGGGGGGCGGCATAGTGCATCGCAGCAGAGACCTTGTGGCATTCTTTGGCTTTGTCTTTTCCGGCATCACTTCATGACATGAAGTGTTCAATCACAGCTGTTGTAAAGCAGTGCACACACCTGTGTTAAAGAGCCTGCGGAAGCAGACTTCGCCAAACTACTTCTGAGATCCCTTCAAGAGATTACATTTATCCACGTTTTGACACTCGAACAAAGCTTGATCATGGGTGGCTGAAATGGGGATCTAGATCCAGGATCTCGGTTGTGCAACTGTCTTTGACCCATGTGCTATGTGGATGTGGTAATTAATATATATAATGTAATGGATTGTCTTGGAGTGGGAGTTGACTGTGATTGCCCCCCCCAGAACCTACATAGATGCCACACATCAATAGCATGTAGGATCCTACTTGCTGTGCTGTGGACTCGAGGCATTGTCTTATCTTGGAGTGGAATATGCCCAGGGCATTGAGCCACATTTGAGATTTTCGATGGAATTTTTGGGAACTTGGATGATCTCAAGCTGGCTTTTTGTTACTTTTGCATGATCCCTCTGGTTTTAGCGGCATTAAGTGCCATGTTGGCGACAACGATGCGTAATCGTTGTTTTTGTGACCTTGTTTTATTTGTCAATTTGTCTTACAGCAAAAATGAGTTTCTAGTGGGTGGTAGATTTTTGTTTGCAGTTTATTTATTTTGGTGACTCCTAAATGCAACTTCCACTGACAATTGCTCTTCCTTTGGACCCCCCCCCCCTCCCTGTCCTTTTGAAAAATAATCGATGTTTCTCCTGAAGTGTGCCGCTCAGACCAGTTTGCTAAAGTGCATAGCATAGGCAATCGGTGGCTTTTAAGGCTCCAAAAAAACAGGCGACATTTAATCAAGCTACGTTTTATCAGTGGTGAAGGGGAAAACAAATAATATACAAGGTTATGTGATACTAAAGCGCCAAGTTGGCATGAAGAGAATCCCACACGCACACTAAGTTTATATTTATGCCTATCTTGCCCTAGACAGGGGAGTCTGAGGGCTGGCTGAAGTCCATCTGAGAAAATCACGTCCTCTAATTCTTCCCCCTCCAAAAGAATGTCAAGATAAGCCCCAGCATTTCGGGGTTGGATATTTCACATGTGCCTTGCGATATTTGTTTTATCAACATCAAGGCCAAGGTTACATGTGGTGGTGGTGGCAGGGAGCTGAGGGGAGGGTGTAAAACATTTGGGTCGCGGACTGCGGTTAAAAAAGTGTGTTTTTATTTTCTCCACTCCAGGTTCTTTTAGTTGCACACGGAGCAGGACATGAGGGTGAGGGGGAGAGAAAAAAAACAAGAAAAGTAGCCTGGGCGTATTTTTTGCAAAACATTTTCTTTGGCAAAGGGGGGAAATTTTAATCTCCTCGCTCAGAACGGCCTGTTTTGCCATATGAAATAATGTAATGCAAACCTACACCCCGACCCTATTTTTAAGAGTACCCACAGCGTTCTTTATGACTTGCTACTGTATGAGAGTCGTCACTGTGGGTTAAAGCTACCGAGGACTGGCTTGGTCTTGGCAGGGCCGGCTGCCCATTTGGGCCTGCAGGGCGCAGGCTCGTGTGTCAATGTTGACCTGTACGCTGTTCTCTTACATGGAGCTGTGCAGTGAGGGGTCTATCCAACCACGTGGCGAATCTTTCGCAGCCTCAAACATTAGCCGTGTGCATGGGAACGTCCCCCCCCCCCCCTCCAGCGTTGTTAAACATCGAGCATGTATTTCGAGATAATCGCTCTTTTGTTTTCAATATAATATGAAGGACGTACGAATGTTTGTTCTCTTTTGCCCATGTATAGTCTAATAATTTATATGTTTTTCTTCCGTGTGACGTGACCACATATCGCAAAAAGGTCGATTTTTTTACGAGTTTCCTGCTGCCACTAAAATGCAACAATGCTGCCTTGTTTGCTACCTCCGGTGGTAGTGGGTGGCGTTGGCTGCCGGGTTTGGAGCAGGAATGCCTGTGCGTGCGTTTGTGCGCGCCGTGTATTTAGACGAGCGCGAGTGCACGCGGCAATTGCACGACCCCCACGAAAGTCTCGACGTGGCCTTTAAAGTGTCGACTTGTTTTCTTTTTAAGTCGACGTGTCCAAAAACGGTCCCTTTATTTAAAAAAAAAAATTTACCAGACGAGGATGAAAATTGAGGTCACTTAATAAATAGCTGCTGATGAAGTTTAACAATGTAGTATTGGTGGCTTCATGCCACACGGGTACAATAGTGTGTGTGTGTTTCGTGGCTTGAATAACGCTGCCTTATTTTGTATCGAAGGCTGTCCATTTTAAATCTCCATTAGCCATGGGCCTTGGTGATATTTAACCGTGCTTTATAAAAAAATATTTACTTTATGCATGCGTTTTTGGTTTAATTATTAGCAGATTCTAACTTTGTAAGGGTCATTAATTGCCTCTGCCAGCATGTCCACAAAGATGACAGGCAAACGAAATCGCGTTCGAGGCAACCGAGAACTGATGAAACCTTCTACATCTACCCCCCCCCCCCCCCCCCCCCCCCCGTTCTACGTAGAAGCTATTAATACATTGACTTTGCCTGAAATCTATGTGTGCTTTTGCATTTTATCCTGGTATATCTGGGCCACACCACCACAATTACCAGGTATTGTTGACTGATGTAAAAATGGTGTCGAGTGGTCGCTGATGGAGATGTGGCGTGTGCTGTGTGCAACAGGCGCTTGGAAACTCCGAGTCCCATGGAGCTTCGAACACAGAAAAAATGGTAAGGGATCGATCTCTCTTTGTGTGTGTGCAGATGCGTTTTTAATTTCCCTGTTCTGCTAACATCAGACCTGTGGTCATTTTTTTTCTATTTTGTAGTTGCTTAATTGTAACTAACTGCAATCACTGATTTTTATTTCGGCTGATAATGCTGCTATAATTGTAGCTAATTGCCCGAGGTCTGACCTTTTTTACATGGTGCTCAATTGAAAAGTGACTTGGAACACCACTGGTAGTTTAACCGAGATCTCCACTCTGCTAAGCAGATGGGAGCATTGTGCTGAAACCATGAAGATTTTGGGGGGTTTTCATCCAGGTGCTGATTTATCATTTAAACGGTGCTCGAGGTGAAGAGCATTGATACTAGTCTGGGTCACAACTGAACAAAAACCGGTAATGTAATTTGGGTCTTCCTTGCATATGGCAGACCTTCCACTTCTGAGATTTGAAGTATAATTTTTAATGTCACGCGATTTTAAGCGTTTCTTTTGTCGCGTGGTGGTCGGGCAAGTGGCCTCCTCATGCACTATTTTAAACGTGGTCGCATATCTTGGAAAAACCCACTTTACTCTCTCCTAATTGGCCCTTTTTTTCTAACATGCCATGGACTCTGCTGTGCTGGTTGTGAAATACATTTTTATTTTTGTGACGCATTATGGTAAAAACTGATTTTAATATTTGTCGAAGGGGAAAATATCAATTTGGCAGACAACCACCGCCTGACTAATCTTGTTTTTACGGTGCGCGCAAAGCGTAGCAACTATTTTGGACTTCCTCCCCGTGCTCGATTTCCCCGGATGTTTTACGTTTCCATATTTACTAATCCTCGCCGCTAGCAAGCGCTCAAAGCAATTGCACAATTGCATTCCCCTGGGTATGGATAAATGCTGGAAACTTGGGAGCACTGGTGTTGAGTGATTCGGTTTTTAGAGGGGGGAGAAGCTGCAACTCGCTCATGACTTTGGCAGCAAATGCCTCCCCCCATCTTGTACATCTGTGTAAATGGCTGGAAATCTCAATTCTTTTGACGTTTAAAAAGAGATCCATGTGTGATCATCATCCCCCACTGGCTTTTGAACAACGGAGCTCTGGTGTGGTACATGTAGCGACTCGTAGTCAGAGTGTCGGACTGGCTGCATAAATTCCCCCCCCCCCCCCCCCCGCCATATCCCTGTGTGATGTTGTCTAGATACTTTTTTCTGCACACTCTGCTACACATGATGCTTTCTTATTGCATGCCAGTTAAAATTGCTATCTTAGTCTACATTGTATAATGTGGACAACGGGTTTCCTGAATCAGGAGTAATTTACGGTGGTGTTGACGGTAACTCGCATGGCACGCACAGTGTCGTGTGTGCATGAGTTACACAAGTCCCCGAAGCACGCTGCTTTTTAATTTGACACTTTTAAAGACATTGGGCTGACATTGCCCGTGGCGCTAGTTTGGAGTGGCAGCCTTCCAGTGCAGCAAAACACGCTGGGTGTAATTAAAACTGTTTTGCCTTCGCGGCTGTTGATGAACCAGTTTTCTTCCAACGCCGCACGCGAGGATGGTAAATACTTGCGTACAAATACCGAGGGCTAGGGCAGCTACAATGAATGACGGCAAAATCCGAGCTCTACCACGGCACGCTAGAAACTTCGTCCGGCCTGCCCGTCCCTCGGCGGGGGGGGAGGGGGAGGCTGCTGTCGGGTGAAGCTGCGGCTATTTTGTCGCGCTCACCTTTGCGAACGAGAGGTCGTGCGAAATTGAAACTGCTTGTTGCGGTCGCTGTGTGGTCGAGATTGAATCCGCTATGCCGAGGTCTGTCCCGTAGCCTTCCTGCCAGGGAACCAAGTGCACCTAGCCTGGCGCGAAGTCTGACGTTACCGTCACGTGGTTGCAAGTGGCGGCTCGTCTTGGTGTAGTGGCACTCGCACGCTGCACTACAAATTGTCGCGGCTTTGATTCGCTTCCGGCGAGTATCGGGAGCCGGTGGTATTCAAAAGTGCGTTTTGAGTCGCCCCTAGGTTGACTGTATTTTTAAAATGAGTGCTTAGTGGCTAGTCTGGTCTCGTCGTTGGGGGAGGGAGTCGGGGACGCGACTGGGAATCCTGTTGGCTACAGAGCACCCTGCTGTGTACGCTCCCTTGGATGTAATGGCTGCTTGCTAGGAGCACTTGTGCCAACTGTGTGGTACATGGAGATATGACAGTGTGCGTGTCTTTGCTCTGTACTTGCAGTTCTAAGAATCCTTGGTGGGGGTGAGGCGGGGGAGTAATCTGTAAATCCATGGCCTCGGCTCTCTTGGAGCTCTGAAGGACCAAATGAAGGTTGTGTCAAACTCAAACCTAATTCAAGACTCGTCACAGCAAAATAACAAAGCGCGCATAGATTTAGACAAGGTGAATTGATAATCTACACCCCCCCCCCCCCTCGCCGTGTGATTTACAGAGGGTCACACTTCAACTCTGCAATCTTTTCTCGTTGTCGTGACTACGTGGGTCCCAATAACGTGCGGTGTACAATGTGAACAAACCAAAGGGTCGTTGCGGACACGCGGTTTGATGCCTGGTATTGAGTATACAAAAACATAACTCTTAATAGATTTTTCGACATCTGATTTCAGAACCTTTATTGCATATGTTTCTGTGCTGCAATACTTTTATATTTCTTTATTTCTACCCCAGAATCTGTCAATCTTTATTTCGACTGCAGGAATCCGATGATGTACAAAGCTGCTTCACAATCCCATAATGAGCCTGTCACCAAGTTACAACCGCAACCCCCACATTGTTCGACATAATTCTGAGCGTCATTGCTCCATGCCTCGGAGCGTCCTCCGTCCTGAATTGATCGGCTCTCTTCCTGGAAAAGGCTCGTTGTGCCGAACGGCACCCCGGCGCAACTTGAACCCTCGCGTATGGGAGGAGCGCGCCGGCCGGCAGCTTTCTCGCTCCCTGCCTGGCGGCCCTGTGCGCACCCTCCCCTCCGTTGGGACGCTCGCGGTGACGCGCCCCGTGGCGGTGGCACGATACGGAGTGCTCGGTGTAACCGTCACAGAGGTGTGGTGTCCGCGGGGGGCAGTTGAGGTGACGATTCTCTCCGAAGGCTGTGATGATTTGTACTTGAAGAGCCTTCCAATGGCGTGTCTTTTTGTGACACCGGGGTCTACACGTTTGTAAAAGCCTGTGAGAGAGGTTTTTGGGGTTGCAATGAGCTTGAATGACGATATTTTGAGTGGTTTGGCTGCTCGCGGGCACTTGCCATGGGCCCTGCCCCTCGGTGAAGGTTGAACAGGGGCCTGTGTTTGTGCGATTGGACTGAAGTGTCCTTTTAATGTCATGGATGTTGCGTCGTGGATTTGTTTCATCTGACATTGAACTGCTGGATGATGGTCTTCCAAAACCGCCTCTGATCCCACGATGTAACAATCCACAAAGCAACCTGGTGCGCACTGCCGGTCTCGAACGCTGCATCGCCACTTGTGGACATCCTCTTTGGCGTTTACTTCCTTGGCCGCCACTCCGTTTGGCATCGACCGCTGGACGGAGATGACGCGTCCTGCCCACGTCCGTTTACTTTTCTCATTTGAAATCTTAAAGCCAATGTTGCCTCGTATTGGCAAAGCAGTTTTTCTTTAAATGGCATGAATATTAAATGAACGACTACAGCTTGGCATTCAACAGTTTGTTTGGCTTGACGCATCCAAAGATTTAAGACCATGCTGTTCTCTTGAAGCTTTGTCAGCAACAAAGAGGTGTGTGTGTGTGTGGTGCTCTGGGTTATTTTTCTCTTCTTAAGACCTGAAAGGCGACTGATTGCTAAAACCGGTTTACTGGGATGGGTGGAAGTTTCCATGGTACAGTTTCTGTATTTGCTGATGCAATGTCGTTCTTGCGTTCCATACCATTTGACCAGGACAGCGCAGTGGTAACAACTTGTGCATTGTGGCAAAACGGGCCTGGGTTTGCCTGTTTCAGGAGCCCTTTCTGTTTAAGAGTTTATTCCCTTCAGTGTGTAATGAACTTCTTTCGCAAAGTACTTGGCCAACTCTGCGAATAGGGATGGGATTGGATGGACGATCTTTGTAGATGGTCCTCAACAGGGATGGTGGAATCTGGCGAGGGTGACGCGCACAGGAAGCTTCAACAGTTGTTGTAGCAAGGGTAAGGAGGCGAGGGGGACGGCGAATCATCGGTCTCACTGCATTACTCTGAATTATATTCAGTGCAGTGACGTTGCAACTGGGGTGCTTGTCCCAGTTATGACGACAGTTCCAAGATCAAGCTGGGGTTGGTGGATCCGTAATTGATGGCACCTGTGTAATTTGCCCATTGATAAGTACAGTAAATGACTAAGTAGATCAATGACGCATGTAAATATTTGTGAGCATCCCCTCCTTTGTTCTGCAGATACTCTTTCTTGTATGCACTGTACTGAAATGCGGACTTGATGCAGCTTTCCTGGATTGAGAAAAAATTGTATTGTGGGTGTTGGTGATTTGAGCAGATTCTTAATGTGAGGTGGGGAGGGGGTTTTGACTTGTCGACTTTCCACATTCGTTCCATCCGGCCGGTGGCGTGTTAGTCTTAAGTGGTTTTTGGTTAATGAAAACAAATCGCCCGCTTTCGCCTTGCGTGGGTGCCGTGTATTTTCGTAGCGATCTGTTTAATGTCACATGATTCTAAGGGGGTAAAAAAAAATACTTTTTCAGAAGGCTAAAAATGGAAACCAATGTAAATCTTTGCTTCAGGATTCTGGTTTTATTTTGGCATGTGAATATATACGCCGCACAGGTATTTTGTGAAAAGGATGCAGACAATAACATGGTTCATTTTTTGAAAATATCCCATTTTTGAATTAGAATTCTATATAAATGGTTTCAGACTGAATATTTGGTATTTCGTAAGCACTTCGTGCACTCAAGGTATTGAGAATTTTTTTTTCCAAGGCAGCTATTCTCTCAAAGATGGGACAACAGGTTCCACATTGCTCATTTGGTCCCAAGTTGACCTCAA